TATATATTAAAGCATGAAGTTATTTGTTTGTATTCAGTGAAAGGCAAATTGATATGACAGAATTTTTTTTTTTTAAAAAAAAAGGATTCTTACGGAGAGGACAAAAAAAATCAGGATTCCTGAAATAGAGATTTTGTTATGAGTTGAAGCTGCCATTACTCCACATCTTCAAAATTATAATGAAAGTAAAAGAGGAAGCATTAACTGGGCATTTGAGGGCTTTGCCATTATATATGAGCAAATATTTGTTGATTAAATAAATTAATAAAAAACAATAGCTATATGCTGAATTCATTGAAGCATCCAACAAAAAGAAGTCTTCATTAACTCTTATACCTGTGTGCAATATTTGCCTCCTTTTTCTCCTTGAGTTTAACAGACTTGGAGAAAAAATTGGTAGGTGAGACATTGGGGTTGTTGGTCAAGAACCAGGAGAAAACAGTTGTTTTCAAGAGGAAAGGCTCTACCTCTTCAGAGTCTGATCTTGGCCAGAAACTGACCATTTAGGGCACCAGAACTGAAGACAGCTCTAAAGGCTGTCTGCCTGTGTTGGTATGCCGGTTCTCTCCATGACTTGCTTTTCCTCTACAGAGCTGAACTTGTAGCCTCTTTCATATATAACTGGTTGAAACTGATGGAAATTACATGTCTTATCACTTCTTAAAAGAAAAAAAAAATACATAAAATGTAAATCTAAAAGAAATGGGCAATTTTCTTGTACCACTTTATATTTCTGTGTAAGTTACCAAGTGCCAATCATTCCTGCTTTTTAAAATTCACATTTGTCAAGCAGCATGTAAGCTTTCAATGTTGTACAAGAAAAGATAATGCCTCATGTGGAACAGTCACTTATGCCAGTTCTGTGGAAGTGCCTACCTAAAGAGAATTTATCAGATTGCTAGTTTTATAGAAATATTAACAATCTCATTAAATTATACCCTCTACTCTGCAGTCACCATGGCATTCCTGAAGGGAGTCAACAGAGTATTATGGTCCTAGATATAGAATTCTTTATTGACATCAGAGTTACCACTCGTATTTGTAGTATGTACTTTAACTGGTGTAACAAGGCAAATGCCTAAGGATCGTTGTGAATGAAAGCCCCTGTTAAATTTTATTTGGAAGTTAATGGCTATCATAACCCCTTGATATAATGAGCCTTCCCTTAGCTCACAGGAAAGCTCATGGGGGGTGGGGGGGTGAACTTCTAAAATGAGAGGGTTAGAGTCAAAATAATATTTTAGTTTTGCAGCTCTCCAAGGGTATGTAAAGTGAGGGTAACATCTGTGGTCCTGTGGTAACAGAGCAATCTGTTATTAGTGCCATGAGGTAGCAGTATCTTCTATAGACCTGAACAAACAAAACAAGGAAGGAAGTCTATCCTGTTTGAATAACAGTTGACATTGTTCACAGTAAGAAACCTAAACTTCTGTAGAGGAGGTGAAGGAGAAAGTGGCAGAAAGAAGACCTGGTCCCATCTTTGACCACCTCTGTGTGCTGCAGTGTTTGAATGATAGCACTAAGATAACAAAAGGGAGAAAGCTGCCAGCCAGGAAACATTTTAAGACATTGTGATACTAGTAATGCTACCTTCAAATTAGCCCTGGATTGAGTTAAATATCAACGGAAGGGAGTAGAGCCGCGCCGGTGGAATCATCCTTACGAAAAGGAGAGAAATTTAATAGTGTGGTGGTTACAGTAACCACTATCCTGCAAGAAAAATCAATATCTACACAGTGTTAGAATCACACCAAGGGCTCCTGGAGCTGAGCCATTTCAGTGAAGAATAAACTCGGATTCATTAGAGTAGAAAGTCAGAATGTGGTAGGAGGTCAAACATAAATATACCCTGGGCTCTTTTGTCCAGAAACCCAAGATGTTCTCCTTTCAGGATCCGAGCATTTTTTAAAAGCATAGAATTTACAGGGCTGGAAGTGACCTTCGCCATCACTTAGTCCAGCCCCTTCTTTTTACAGATGAGGAAATAGTGGGCCAGAAAGATTACTTGGCTTGCTCCTGTTCACACAGCCAATCTGAAGAGACTTCCCTCATGCCACAGTGCT